AACAGAAAGATTATTGAAAATGGTCACACAAATGTGGACCTTAGAAAAATGTATAAGACTAACATAATAGGGAAGAGTTAAAATATAAACAATAAAATACTGTAAAGTGTTTTAACAATATAAAACTGGAGAATAAATAACCAATATGCAGCTATGGATAATTTTACAGTAATGGATATATGAAAATAGCAGCAACATCAGAGATGTGCAGAATGACAGCAGCAGGTTATTTACCTGACTAAGGTTTCTATCATTACATTTGATTTTATTTGTTCCTGCTCCTGGTGGCTGGAACCTTTATTCCACTCTGGATTCTTGTGAGTGTAGTCTTTGTTCACTTTACAATAAAAAATAAACAGTTTTGAAAACTTCTGTATTCATTCTTTTCCTGCTTTGTGTGTCAACTGTGACGGTTGCTAAGCAACATAGCCTACAGCGGTAAAACCCGCCGAAGGGTAGACCTGTTTGAATTCACAGCCTAAACTCTTCTGGTCTCCTTATTTTCAAGGACTTCGAAGGATCCAGTCTAGGTAGACCGCGTCCTTGGAGGATGCAGCCCATGAATTCGAACAGAGCCCATGTCTATCTGTAGGTGGATTATAACCAGCGTGTGAGTCAATAAACTGTTCTTATAGTTTAGTCCGTGCCCAGACGCTGAGGTTGGTTCCTGCCAGCCGGGTGCCGTGCACTGACTCCCAGATGCTGATGTATCAGAGGTCGGAGGATAGACAAGAGATCAGAACCGAGCAGACGAAGGAAAGCAGGATAATCCAGATGGCGAAGCCAAAGCCTGTGTTGATGATGTGTTAAGGAGTCAGACCCATGAGGTAAGTGGTCCAAAGAGGTGCCAAGGTGAAATCTAGAGCAGAGTTGGGAAACAGTTCCTGGTTTGGTACGCAGAGAGGCAGAGATCCGGCAGGAGTCCGAGGACAGTTCAAGCAAACAGATCAGAATGGGAACAGGTAGGCTCAGAGGTCCAGGAACAGAACGGGTCAGGATCAGGCAGTCAACTTCTCACCACTGCCCTGAAATCATCTGGCACTGATGACTAGTCTGGAGGCTGGTTAAATAGAGACTGAAGCAGGTGGATCAGATGAAAGGTAATCAGAACTGGGCTAAGATATGCAGGTAAGTGAAATGAGTAATCAGAATAGACATCAGTACCAAGATCATGACGCCATAATTTCTGCAAAAATTGGAAGGATGGCTCAGCCATTTAAACCAATCCTGTCTGATAAGATTTTTTTTTTCTCAGCTTTTATTGTCATTACAGTTTCAAAAGTACAGAGCAACAGATGAACTCACTGCATTTAACCCATCCCCTTGGGGAGCAGTGGGCTGCCATTGTGTGGCGCCCGGGGAGCATTGTGGGGTTAAGGGTTATTGCTCAGGGACCCAGAGTGGCAGTCTGTGGGAATGGGTCTCCAACTCACAACCTCAGCATTCAAAGCTATATGCCCTAACCACTAGGCTTCCAATCCCCTAATGGAGATGTCCCCAAGAGGAAGAGGGGCCCCAAATCAAAATTCTACTTAAGGTAACATACAACTGTGGGCCAGCCCTGAGTCTCTATTCAACACATGGATCCTTCTGTAAAATCAGACATAGATGTGAAAAACATCTGTGCCTTCATGATTTCCTGAGGCATCTCCCTGATACAGTAGAACTGGGAGTTCCTTGACTTCAGGACCAAGTGGTTCTTCGCCTTAGGTGACTCATAGGGCAATGACCTAATGACAACTGCTTAGCTAGTACTCTGGAAAACGGGTAATATTGGAGTCTTCCTTATACGCTTATAAAATGAAGAAATAAAAAACATGAAGATCAGTTTACATTTGATCACTGCTGCACTTTATGGAACGGAAATGTTCTGAAAGCAGTCAGTTTCACATCAAGCTGAGATCTTCTGTTCTTCAGAGTTCAGGTGATCCGAACTGATCCTTCATCCTGTTTTAGGAGAGCTGAGCTTTGTCGCCTCATCAGGTCCACCTCGAAAACGTTTTGCATTATTATGTAGAGGAATTGTCTTTTTGTGACAGTGTGGTGTCACTTTAAAGAGGTGATGGTTACCTCAAGGAGAAGCTGAGAGGCACAGTCACTTATGGCTTCCTAAATCTATAAAAGTTAGTTTTTTACAGCTTCAAAGGTTAAGACGACATAGTAAAGACATAATTTTAATAAGAGATGGACATGGGGAAAGGTTTTGATTAGATTTAAGGCAGATATATATCTTCTGTGTTAACTATATTGCTATAAATCACTGAAAAGGTTAATTTGTCTTTACCTTTATGTTTGTTAATGACAAGAATTGTCTTTAGTTGATTTAAAAGTTTCATATGTAAACTTAAAGCTTTCATATGTTTTATTTTTCCGAATAAAGATATTCAATGATTTATTTTTTATATAGAATCATTTTCCTGTTTATCCACTAGGTGGCACTACAACACAAAAAAAGTCCAGAGTCATCTCTACCTTTCTGCCTGCAACAGTTTGGTTTCACCCAGGAGGAGTTTGTGGTCTTTAAGAAAACCTTTCTGTAGCACATTTAGTTGGCAAGAAAATTCAAAATATATCAGAAAAAATGTGTGGCAAGAAGGCAACATGAAGATCTAAAGAGAATAGAAGTTAATTATTTAAGTTTTGTTCTGATTCAGCTGAATATTTTAAAAGTTTTCACCAAACCCCTAACTGCCTGAAAAAATGGGTGTTGATATTTTCTGAAAAAGATCAAAGATTCATTCAGAATATGAAAATTAATTAAAATTGTTTACATCTGTTTTTTTTAGTCTTCTTCCATCTTGTTATTGGTCTTTAAGTGTTTATTATGCAGATGTCTTTACACTTTGCACATTTCTTGAAATCACTCTTCTCGTTGTATACTTTTTAAATATCTGATCATGTTTTCCTTAAATCAATAACAGCACAGTAGTTTCTCTTTGTTTTACTCCTTTCTGTACCTGCATGCTTCCAGATGTTTACTATTGCTGCAGGGCCACAGGAATTTCCCCACTAAGGAAGAATAAAGGTTAATTCTGCTTCTGTTCTAATTTCATTGTTAAAGCTTTTGTGATTTTTCTTTTTTTTTTTTTTGCCCCAAAACCCACAATTCACAAAAAAGGCACACAATCAGGTTCACATGTTAGTGATTAAACAAAATACAAAGAGCAACTTAAAAAAAAATAAAAAAAAGACTTTTAGAGAGAAATTAGCTGGGAGCCACAACAACATTTCAAACCCATAAATACAAAGTGATTTATTTTGTTGCAGAAATACCAAAGCAACTTAAGTGATAAAAAAGAAGTTCTTGAAAAAAATGAAACAGGAAAATATTTTGAAACAGGCTTAAGAAGCACAGCCCCAAACAGGTAAATACATATGAACTTGTTATTTTATTTAAATAGTCTGAAAGATTCAAGATATGAAAAAAGAAACCCAGAACCAAAAAGCAGAGCATCAGCATCACCTGATCCAGATGGTTCTGATCCTGGAGGATGATGAAACTGTTGATAAAAACTTTATTTATAAGTATCAACAATATCTAAAGTACGAAGAAAGATCTCCATTTTATTAAGAGAGAAAATCTGATTTAAAAAGGTAGTCAATATATATTTGGATGGATGGAGTGAAACCAGCCTCATGCCCTTGTTATTTGGCTTTTATGAAGACCTCCAGTCCAGCAGGGGGCGGTAGGCAGAGGCGCTCTGGAGCTGGCTGACATGTTTCCCCGGTTCGGTGTTGGTTTGGCAGGTTGTTGTTTCCAGATTCGGTTCGTTCCTTCATTCATTAATCCTGCATCTCATTCGGTGTTGGTGTCGGGCTGCTCCCCCCGGTCCGTTCGGCAGTTCTCCAGAACCGGAGCCATGCCCCGGAAGCAGAAGGAGGTTAGTCTGGATTTTCCTCACTGTTGGTCAAAACAGAGATTTTTACTTATTCCTGTTCAGTTTAGCTCGAACCTGTACAGAGGAAGGACCAGTGGTTCTGGTCTGATACTGGCTTAATTCTTTTTAAAGGGTTTTTGCTTTTCTGCATTTGACAAATAGGAAAAGCTTTGTAGCTTTATTGTGCATTTAAATAGACCAGCTGCACCGAAATATTTAATCTAACAGTTAAAATGTATACATTTGGCGTCATAAAAGCGTCCCTGCACATTTCTGGAACAATATTCTAGGTGGTTTTACATCATTGGTGGTTTAAAGGAATAGTACACCCAAAACATGATTAGCCTTCATTTTCTATTCACCCCCATGCTGAACAACACTCTGGAGTACTTTTTTGATATCTCAAATGCATCTGGAGATCTGGGAGGCTTCTTGCTGTCTGCTGACATTCAAATAATGGAGGTCTATGGTGCCCGAGATAGAAAGGTCCATAAAAGTCCACAAAAAACGTGTCAATATTCCTCCATACTGCTCGTCCAATGTATTCCAAGTGTCCTGAGTGGGTAGCATCTAGAATTTACTCGAAACGAAGTAATTTAGAATGTTTTTAGAGCATAAACAGTAGTGTATAGGATTTCCTAAAAGCGCGTTCACGAGTCTACGGAAACCGCGGCAGACCAAACCAGATGAAAGTGCGCATTCAGCGTCTGCTCTGCCGATAATGCAAGCGTAGAAGAAGAAATGTGCTGTTTACCTGTGCAAAGAAAGAAACAACGAAAGAAAAATGTCTGAGGACTTCAGTGTTGAGGAAGAGCATGAGTTCTTTGCCGAGCTGAATGCGCACTTTCATCCGGTTTGGTCTGCCGCGGTTTCCGTAGACTCGTGAACGCGCTTTTAGGAAGTCCTATACACTACTGTTTATGCTCTAAAAACATTCTAAATGACTTCGTTTCGAGTAAATTCTGGATGCTACCCACTCAGGACACTTGGAATACATTGGACGAGCAGTATGGAGGAATATTGACACGTTTTTTGTGGACTTTTATGGACCTTTCTGCCTCGGGCACCATAGACCTCCATTATTTGAATGTCAGCAGACAGCAAGAAGCCTCCCAGATCTCCAGATGCATTTGAGATATCAAAAAAGTACTCCAGAGTGTTGTTCAGCATGGGGGTGAGTAGAAAATGAAGGCTAATCATGTTTTGGGTGTACTATTCCTTTAATCTACCTAGTCATGGTAGATGAAGCCTCATGAGGCATTGAACCGTTTGGCCAAATTGCTTCAACAGTTCATGAAGCTTCATTTGAACATGGCTCCACCTACTGGTGGAAAACAGAATTACAGTTTCTTAATGTACTTATTTTTTTTTACGATTACAGTTCCTTTGTAGGACGGAGTTTTTAGGGCCAGGCTTGAGATTTTTTTTTTTATTTCGAGATCAAAGACGTAGAATAACAAGAATAAAGTCGAAGGAACCAGCAACGTGGAACTGCACAGGGAGAGTATTTATGGGAGAATGAACATAGACAGGACTAATGAGCTGATTGGGAGCAGTTGTAAACAGAGGCTTCTAGAAGGAGCCAGGGAAAAGGAGACCAACACCAGAAGGGAAAGCAAAGAAAAACCTTGGAGCTCAAACATATCCAGAAAAGACCAATAAAGCTAGAAAACAAAGAAAAACATGGATCAACGTGAAACTGAAAACTCTCAGAAAACTTAACAGAACCAAGACTGTGACAACCGTTAATATAAATATCAGTGTATATTAGTTATTTTGTGTTCTAAATAAATAGAAGAGCAATCAATAAACATATGTTTGAGCACATTTTTGGAAAATACAATCCCTATTGAAAGCATTTGTGTTGAGTAACTGTAATTCCATCCTCAACCACCCTTAAAGTGTCCCCACCATCGTAACTAAAGTTGGAGGTGGGTTGAAACATGGTCATCTGAATGAAGTCACACAGGGCAACCACTGCCTGTGCACCAGGAGCAGACGAGTCACAGATCAGAGGCCTTTATAGATGAATTTTGGATGCTGATTGGCTTTCATGGAGGTGTAGTCCAAAGCTGATTGGTTGTGTCGCAGGTGGATGAAGGAGAGCAATCAGTTTCTTCAGTTGAACTTCCACCTAGACTCCTTTACAATTTAACGTACTACATAATGTCTGTATTTCACCACGCATTTACAGTAAAACTAAAAAATGGTTTCTGCCCAATCTCCCCAAATGGTACGTACAACCATCAGCAAGACATCAAGTTAGCAGTTGCCACTAGATCCACTAAGTTACTCACTTTGAGGTGTTCCAGACTCACTGGTAAAGCAAACTCATCTAATGATGGCAATGAAAACTGTCATGTAGAGGTGGGTCGGACTCAAAGCCTCTCTATCTTCATATGGACGTTACTGATCCTGCACTTTCTTGGTTTGATAAAACTGGGATATTATATTGACGGAAGAATGGAAATTTCTCTGCAAAAATGGAAGAAACCATTAAAGGATGTGGAGGATCTACTTCACATACAGGTGTTTTTAGTGCTGCTAATGTTGGGGGTTATTCTCCCTGTCTCCTTCGCCATGTTAAGGACCAGCTATGTTTGTTTGAATGTGCTGTTAAATCTTCACTAAGCATCCTTAAAAAAATATTTAAAAAAAAACAAACAAAACAGTAAAAATGTTGAGATGCTTAAAGTTATAAAATATTCAAGTAAAAATGGAAAAACCAACCAATTTGGTTGTTGATGCTGTTTGTAACTTTGTTTGAAGTTGAAAATTTCTACCATAACTTGAATGGAATTGGTTTTGATTATTAAACTTTTTCAATAAAATTTTGTTTATAATTAAAATTATGTTTAATGCTAAATAAAAAAACAAATTGATTACTAAATTAATCAATAGGTAGAGCCCTAGATAGAAACGGTGATGATTGTGAAGTCTGCCTGCTACTGGGAGGAAGGATCTGTGATGATGCTCCTTTGTGTGTTTAGGATGCAGCATTTAGTGAGTGCAGCAGCTTCATGCATGGGGTTGGAAACTTTATCCAAGTTATTTTTAGCTGACTCCTTCGGTCTCTCAGCACCTGCTTGGGTGGAGGGGACATCCTACGTTGGCTAAAGATGGGACGAACCGAGCTAAGCGAGGAGAAGCTAATGTCCACTGCACTACAATTACGCTAGCTAAAACAGTATGAGAAGATAAAGTACTTTACACTGATCTAAGTGAAGCTAAAAAAGAAATACTCCAGCTAACAAGTTGGGATGTAGGCAGGAATAAAGGGCTAAAATAAACTAAGCTTAGACAAATACCATTAAGATAAGCTAAGCTACACACAGACAAGGCAGGCAAGTTAAAGTTAATCTAAAGTTAATATGATATAAAAGCTAATAAACAGTAAAATATAGGAGAGAATATAAAAAGCAAGAATAGAGTGATACAGTTGTAGCCATTAAAAATTTCTTTTCTTGATGGGTCCTTGGCTGGTCCCTTAAAATTACTTTTTACATATCAATCTTTGTACTTAAATATTCTTTCTGTCATGATTTGTGGGCATTAAGATCTAAAGAGAAGCATAATCTCCTGGTCAGACCATAATTCAGTGAAAGGGTGGAGTCTAGGGCTGCAACAACGAATTGATAAAATCGATAAAAATCGATATTTAAAAGCATTGGCAACGAATTTCATAATCGATTAGTTGTGTCGCACGATTAATGCGTCATCCGTCGCCGTCGTAAACACTGCCACTCGATTGAAACGCGGAAAGAAAAAAAAATACGGCAGAGCGAGCCAGCTCTGCAGCTGAGCAAAGGCTGTTTTCAAAAGGCAGAAACGTCAACTGTTCTAATGACCGATACCGCAAACGCAAGCTGCGTCTCAATTCGCAGATAGCCTGTGCTTTGTAAAGCAAAAAAAGTCGTACCATGCAACTTTTGTAAAAACAAATTAACATGGCACGGAAGCACCACTGTTATGATGCAGCACCTGAAAAAGAAACACGTTGGAGCCTTCGATGGCAGTGAAGAGAGCTGATCAGCAGGATGAGTAACCATGTTTGTTTAATTTTAAAGTGGGGAAACGTAAAGTTAGTTTCTCAGGTAGCTCATCTGATGCTTTCCTTACCGTGTTAGTAGGTTACAGACAGTGATAAGGTTGGCTACTTATTTTACTTTTAATTTCATTTGAATTAGCTTAAGCAGCGTTTATATTTACTTTATAAATAAATGAACTTGCAAATTATGAGGGCAAGGCTTTTAAAGTTTAAATCTTCTGGCAAAGATAAAGAAAAGAAGATCCTGCAATTTATGGAAGTAAAGCAGAATAAAATCCAGCAAGATCAGTAATATGTCAATTAATTATATGCCACATTCCCATGTAAATATCTGTGTTTTTTAGCACCCCTAGTTCTCTCATTTTTATTCCAAATACAATTTATAATTTGAATCACAGGGCTATTTTTATCTCTATGGTTCAGTATTTTCTCAAGTAGCAACTTTAACTGCTGTACTTTCCTGTCTTAAAAGGCAGAACTCTTCTAGTCTAAAAAAACTCATTTGTTGAAATGGGGGGGCCTATTGTTTGAACCCCTTAGGGGCTTTTAAAAACAAAAATGCCTGTTTTTTTTTGCGCTTTAAGAAACAAAGTACCCTATATTTTGTGGATGTACAGCTACATTTCTCATGTAAGTTTGCGTAGTTTTAACAAACATTTATTTTTCATATTGCACCAGTACAGTTAATGAGCAACCTGTACTTATGTGCTTGTTTGTTCTGTCTAAAATGTTTATTTTGGAATAAAGAGGTTAATATAAAAAATATTTTTTGTCCGATTCATCGATGAATCGAAAAAATAATCAGCCGATTCATCGATTTTTAAAATAATCGGTAGTTGCAGCCCTAGTGGAGTCATGGTAAAAAAAAAAAATATGCCATTTTGAATGGCTGCTTCTGTACACTTAGCCAGACAAGCTGAGAAAAGTCAAATTAGCAGAGCTATTCAATGGCTAGCAAGGATAAAGCAAGTTCATCTTTGCTCTGGGAGGCCTAAACCAGCTACCAACACTACTATAAGATGAGCTAGGATAGGATAGTGTAAACTTTGGTAAGTGAAGGTTTGCCAGAGAAGGAGACGTACTAAAATTATTCGAAATTTATATGAAGAACTTTAACTGAGGTGCAGGAGATCTTGGTCATTTTAACGACTCTTTTTTAATAAGACAACCCGATCACACACTGAACCACCATCAACCATAAGACTAAAGGTCAGAAACCTTTATGACGTCTGTTCTGTAAACACAGGTGAAAGCAGCTAAAGGGCAAACAGCAGAGGCTCCATCTTCCGGTCCGGTAACCAGAGACAAGAGTGGAGCCGTAGCCATCACAGTTCACGCCAAGCCGGGCTCCAAACACAGTGGCATCACAGGTCGGCCCGCCGCCGCTCCGTCCCCGCCTCTGTGGGTCCACCTGAGGGACCGCTCACATCTCCCTCTGCTGCTCTTACAGATGTGTGTGCTGAGGCTGTGGGCGTTTCCATCGCAGCGCCACCTACAGATGGAGAAGCGAACGCTGAGCTCGTCCGCTACCTTGCAGAAGTTCTGGCGCTGAAGAAAAGCCAGATTTCACTGGACAAGGTTTTTTAAACTCTTTAAAACTTTTGCATTCGGTTTTAATTAATCTTTTTTTGGAACTAGTACTTGAAAGATTATAAACCATGAAGAAAAGATGAGTTCATCTTTTTAAAATAACAGATCAGACTGTTATCCAAATAGTTTTTAGTGAGAAGATGTTTAAGCCACAATTATTGTCTCATCATTCAACAAACTCTTTCCTCCTTTAAAATCTTTAAACTCTGTGAATTTTACTCTTTTTTTTTACTTTGATCTTTCCTCTTGTCTCCATTCTGCTCCCTTTAGGGTTCTAGATCCAGAGACAAAGTCATAAGAGTGGACTCCTGTTTGGATCCAGAGGAGGTGCTAAGGAGGCTCAGACAGGCTGCCGGCTGATCGGCAAAGAGCAGATGGAAGCAGGACTGGATGGAGGAAGGGTTTCAGATAGGTTCTCCTCCATCAGCGGCGCCAGTAATGGATGCGTAGAACTTCTGACTGTCCTCATCTTCTCCACCTCCCATTCTCAAATGGACTCGTCCTAAGTTGGAGGAACACAGATGAGCTTAGAAACAGGAAGTGATGACACCAGAGGAAAGTTTTCCAAAGGTCTCCTTCGTGTTAAATGTATTGGTTCAAGAACAGAATTATCATCAGATGATCCATAACAGCCTCAAACCCTGAAGCACAGACCAGTGCTGGCTTTTAGATAATCACTGGGTTTCTGTTTTTTAACGGAGACCCAGTTCTGTTGTGACATTTTAACCTCATTCTATCTTTGAGGCTTTAAAAACAAACCCTGAAGAGGCAGAACGTTGGTGCTTCAAACTAAAACACGTTTTGGTTTTTTTATGAAATACTGAACTCTAATAAAAGTAACAGATTCTCTTTGAGAAGCTGCTGAATGTTATTTCCTGTTATAATAATTTTCTGTTATCCTCTGAAAGGTAAGATGGAAATGCTGCTGCTGCATGTCAGGGGATTGGACAGACAGGCATTCCTCAGACGCTGCCTTTAGCAGGTTGGGGGCAAAATCTAAGAATGAATTAGATTCAGAAGGTCACAGCCCTGCAGATGGTGTCAGCTTGGGGATTCAGACTGATGGAAAACTGTCGGACTAATCGTCGGAGCTGCGTTCAGCTTAGAAATCATGCGGATGAGTTGGATAGGAAAGCTGTAGGTTCCAAGGTGTTATGGGTCTACGCTGGAGTAGTGGATAACCTCCACTTCTTTAAACAGGAGTGTCAAAATGGTGGTCCAGCTGCCACTTTTAATAATTGAAATGATTTTATGACTATGCACAACATGACATAACTAATGAAGCAATATTATTGTAAAGTAAATTAATGTAAATTTCTCCAATTAGTGAGATCAAAAGAGAATTATTATTAAATATACACTCACGGCCACTTTATTAGGTACCCAATGCTAGTAACGGGTTGGACTCCCTTTTGCCTTCAGAACTGCCTCAATTCTTCGTGGCATAGATTCAACAAGATGCTTGAAGCATTCCTCAGGGAGTTTGGTCCATATTGACATGATGGCATCACACAGTTGCCGCAGATTTGTCGGCTGCACATCCATGATGCATATCTTCCGTTCCACCACATCCCAAAGATGCTCTATTGGATTGAGATCTGGTGACTGTGGAGGCCATTTGAGTACAGTGAACTCATTGTCATGTTCAAGAAACCAGATGATTCCAGCTTTATGACATGGCGCATTATCCTGCTGAAAGTACCCATCAGAAGTTGGGTAAATTGTGGTCATAAAGGGATGGACATGGTCAGCAACAATACTCAGGTAGGCTGTGGCGTTGCAACGATGCTCAATTGGTACCAAGGGGCCCAAAGAGTGCCAAGAAAATATTCCCCACACCATGACACCACCACCACCAGCCTGAACCGTTGATACAAGGCAGGATGGATCCATGCTTTCATGTTGTAGACGCCAAATTCTGACCCTACCATCCGAATGTCGCAGCAGAAATCGAGACTCATCAGACCAGGCAACGTTTTTCCAATCTTCTATTGTCTAATTTCGATGAGCTTGTGCAAATTGTAGCCTCAGTTTCCTGTTCTTAGCTGAAAGGAGTGGCACCCGGTGTGGTCTTCTGCTGCTGTAGCCCATCTGCCTCAAAGTTCCACGTACTGTGCGTTCAGAGATGCTCTTCTGCCCACCTTGGTTGTAACGGGTGGTTATTTGAATCACTGTTGCCCTTCTATCAGCTCGAACCAGTCTGGCCATTCTCCTCTGACCTCTGGCATCAACAAGGCATTTCCGCCCACAGAACTGCCGCTCACTGGATATTTTTTCTTTTTCGGACCATTCTCTGTAAACCCTAGAGATGGTTGTGCGTGAAAATCCCAGTAGATCAGCAGTTTCTGAAATACTCAGACCAGCCCTTCTGGCACCAACAATCATGCCACGTTCAAAGTCACTCAAATCACCTTTCTTCCCCATACTGATGCTCGGTTTGAACTGCAGGAGATTGTCTTGACCATGTCTACATGCCTAAATGCACTGAGTTGCCGCCATGTGATTGGCTGCTTAGAAATTAAGTGTTAACAAGCAGTTGGACAGCTGTACCTAATAAAGTGGCCGGTGAGTGTACAAGGTCATTGAATCAGTCAGATCTGTTTTCATTTAGAAGCCTGCAATGGTCCTAAGATCCAGCAGGTGGCAGTATAGAGCAGTGCAGTACCAAAACTATAATACAGTTTGTGTCAAATGATAAATGACTAAATAAAATCAGAACAGGGCTGTGATGTGTTAACATTTTAAACATGATGCTGTAACAGGTTTTTAAAGGTAAAGTTCTAAAAATAAATGTCCAGCCTTAAACAGCAGCTTGGGGTAAATTGAATCCCTACGCTGTCATGCACACAATAACAGTCAAATGGACCTCCAGCCTGTTTCAGTTTACATTAATATGATGCTTCACTGTAAATCAGAGTCTCCAGATTCTCTCTTCTTCCATAACAGCGAGTTTGAACTTCAGAAAATGAATGCAAGTTAAGTCTAAATGTGCTTTAGAGGAGTTTTTGATATTGCAGCTTCTGATAACTGATATTTTCCTTCAGGGGAACCGGAGACGTGTCGCATAAAAGGGGGAAGAGTTTAGAAATGATTGATGCAGCATAAACGTAACATATCAACTCGACTGTGTTGAAGCTGAGAGCCGTACAGAGCCCAGCATGTCTTATTTAGAAGTGAGCCTTTTTCAGTCTGTATCCCTGGCTAAGTGACTGCAGAGATGATCCATGGTCAGCAGCAGTATTTGAGGAGCTTCTGAGCTCATAAGCCTCTGAATCCTGTAAATTTGGGAGGAAAAATGTTTGTTCAGTTATTTGAAGCTTAACGCAGCGTCTGAAACCTCCGTCAGCCTGACAGCCGCAAGCGTAAAGCTGCTGATCCTGGATCAGCAACGAGACATACTCTGAGGTGGTTCTTATGCAATCCTGCTGATTCCTAACTGAGCAGAAAGTTTGTTTCGTATCAGCATGAAGTCTGCAGGCTTTTGATTCTCAGTCCTTATCTGCTTGGCCTTTCATGTCCCTCTCTCTGAAGCCTTTTAGTTTGAACAGGAACAATTTGAGCCTCATTACAGTTTCACTAATTCACAGCTCTGCTCTGATTCTGAGGCTGATGACTGATGCTGATCAGAGGTCCTGGATGAGGAGGCGTTCAAGTCCTTGGAAACCCCAGGAGCCGTTATGGGGGCCAAAATTAAACACCCTCACATATCAGTGTCTGTTTCATCTGATGTACATTTCTCTCTAACTTTTTTTAAACTCTTATGCAAGTGCAGACTATTAAATGAACACATTCATTATATGACTTCTTTAAATTATTCAAAGAATTAATTTTTCATACAAACTGGTTACATTTTTTTCCATAGGTTATTTCTTCATATCTAGAATCACATTTAGTTGTAAATGAATTTAAATGTTTTGGGACTTAATCATTGTTTATTCCCCTCAAAATATGTGAATTATAAACTTGAATTCAGTTTGTTTATATAGGACTAACTGATGATATTACAAAAGATGAGCAGATCCAGTTCATATCTAAACACAAAGAATCCAGTTTGCTCCTAATTTATTTCAGTTCATTCTTTTACATTTTCACATTCACACCCAGTTAGACACAGTCAAATTCAACTGATTTGTGCAAACGTGCGACAACAAAGGAGAGGATAAACAGAACAGAGCTCAGTGTGACTCTTGGAGCCTTAAGCCACAATATTAATTTTGGACACTGATGAACAAAGTCCAGGCTGGTTTCCTTTTAAAATTGATTGAGGAAGATTCAGTTTTGCAGCCTAATCCTATAGCAGCATAACTACATAAATAGCTGAGGATAACCTGGCCCACTTGCACCTCCAAAGCTCTGGAATGACCTGCCTCAGCACATTCAGCAGACCTCTTCTACAGGTCCTTCTCAAAATATCAGCATATTGTTCATTATTTTCCATAATGTAATGATAAAACTTGAACATTGATATATTTTAGATTCATTGTGCACTAACTGAAATATTTCAGGTCTTTTATTATACGGATGATTTTGGCATACAGCTCATGAAAACCCAAATTCCTATCTCACAAAATTAGCATAATTCATCCAACCAATAAAAGAAAAGTGTTCTTAATACAAAAAAAGTCAACCTTCAAATAATTATGTACAGTTATAAACTCAATACATGGTGCGGAATCCCTTTGCAGAAATGACAGCTTCAATGCGGCGTGGCATGGAGGCAATCAGCCTGTGTCTCTGCTGAGGTGTTATGGAGGCCCAGGATGCTTCCATAGCGTTTAGCCTTTAGCTCATCCACAGTGTTCGGTCTTGCTTCTCTCAACTTTCTCTTCATAATATCCCACAGATTCTGTTTGGGGTTCAGGTCAGGAGAGTTGGCAGGCCAATGAGCACAGTGATATCATGGTCAGTAAATCATTTACCAGTGGTTTTAGCACTGTGAGCAGGTGCCAGGTCGTGCTGAAAAATGAAATCTTCATCTCCATAAAGCTTTTCAGCAGATGGAAGCATGAAGTGCAACAAAATCTCCTGATAGCTGCATTGAACAGCCCTTGATAAAACACAGCGGACCAACACCAGCAGCTGACATGGCACCCCAGACCATCAGTGACTCTGGGTACCTGATACTGGACTTCTGGCATTTTGGCATTTCCTTCTCCCCAGTCTTCCTCCAGACTCTGGCAGCTTGATTTCCAAATGACGTACAAAACTGAGCAACAGTCCAGTCCTGCTTCTCTGTAGCCCAGGTCAGGAGCCTCTGCCGCTGTTTCTGCTTCAAAAGTGGTTTGATCTGGGGAATGCGGTACCTGTATCCCATTTCCTGCACACGCCTGTGCACGGCGGCTCTGGATGTTTCTACTCCAGACTCAGTCCACTGCTTCCACAGCTCCCCCAAGGTCTGGAATCAGCCCTTCTCTACAATCTGCCTCAGGGTCCAGTCAACTCTTCTCGCTTTTTCTGCCACACTTTTTCCTTCCCACTGAGGTGCCTTGATGCAGCTCTCTGGGTACAGCCTACTGGTTCAGAAATATCTTTCTGGGTCATAGCCCCTTTCTTGAAGGGGTCAATGATGGCCTTCTGGACAGCAGTCAGGTCGGCAGTCTGACCCATGATTGGGTTTTGAGGGATGAACCAGGCTGGGAGTTTTAAAGGCCTCAGGAATCTTTTGCAGGTGTTTAGAGTTAATTTGTTGAATCAGATGATTAGGTGCATAGCTCCTTTAGAGACCTTTTTCATCATATGCTAATTTAGTTAGATAGGAATGTTGTGTTTTCATGAGCTGTATGCCAAAATAATCCTTATTAAGACAATAAAAGACCTGAAATATTTCAGTTAGTGCG